TAGGTGCAGGTCCAGGTGTAGGTGCAGGTCCAGGTGTAGGTGCAGGTGTAGGTCCTATTGGAAGAAAGACAAAAAGAAGCACATGTCTAGTGTAGAACATTTTACAAATACAAAAAGGTAGAATAGAGTAAAGACAGCAGCAGGGTGAAGAAATGTGTTCAGTTTGTCCTCCAGCTGTCTAAGCCTTTAACTGTGGGATAACTCAGGAAACCCAAGCCAGCCCTAACTATAGGATTTATCAAAATGGAAAGTCTTAAACTGGATAATGTGTCGGCCTCATGGACAGAAACTGGAAGTTGGTTCCCCACAAGTAAGCCTGAAACCTGAGAGCTAACTTATACAGCAACAAAGTCCATGCTCAATAATCCAGGTATACAATCCAACATTTCAGGTCATCTGGACAGTTTCTTTGTTTTTTTGTGCTGAAACGTTTCGCCTTCAGTCCTACTTATACAGCAGTCCCTCAATACTTCACGGTTCGTCGTTGGCAGACTCCATTTTTCTCGAGCTGTCAACGTAAAATTGTGCACGACACACAATTGTCAACTTTAATATTACTCATGTGATTGGGACGGTGCAGGATAAAAAGTTCACGGGAACCAGCCAATAGAACAAAAGAACAAAACAAACAAACAAAAAGAAACACTTCAGTCAGGCGCCGCCATTTTGTAGTTTTCATTCTGTAAGACTATAATGTAATGTAAGCCAAAAGAACTACACGGTCCAGAAGCCAACAGTTCTTCCAGCCGCTGCTTTCTGCAGACATTTATAGAACAACAATGGAGGGAGCAAACACTGGCAGAGAATCCAAAGTGGTGAGAATAGATTTGCAACAACGTCAGAAGTCACGGTGTATCTATGAACTCACAGAACCGGCAGGAAAGTCTCAAATAATCCTGAAGCTGAGCTCATCCTTCAAGTTGCATCATCAGTGGGGAGTACCCATATCAAACTTTGGAGTACTGTGGTCCATCACTACTTCACGCTTCATTTATCTCGCCCTATCATGGTTTTTCAAAATAAGAGTGGACATGACACACATTTGGCTGATTGATGGATGAACCGCACCATCGGCATAGAGTTTTTATTTAAAATAAATTATTAAAAATGATTTAGCACCTGCTGCACCTGTGTGCAGCCCAAGCTGCAGTAGAAGCTTCCTTCTGCAGCTTGTCATATCTCCGTTCTGCACCGGCAAAGTGGGCGTGGCCAAAAGCGCATGCAGATGGTAAAGTGCAGCAGGAGGCAGAGAGCTGAAATCATGACACACTGTGCTCTTTTAAAGAGTTTTAAAGGGTTTAAAACACTTCATATCTATATGTAAATACTAAAATAAACTACCACTACTACTTGGACTACTGTATCCGTACTTCATAGTTTTTCACTTATCACAGTGGGGCGTGGTCCTTAACACCCGTGATAAACGAGGGAA